TCTATCTATTATAAATCCACGTTTTTATAACCGTAAAAATCAAATATACAAATTGCAAATAGCAAGGCCAACTTAAACTAGCTCTTCCAACTCTAAATGATATCAGCTTTTAAGGAAAATTCCCACTCTCCACACGCTGAAAAAGCAATTAAAGATTTAAATATTCAGTTCCAAGATTATGTATTGAAATCAAATATATTCTTGCTTTATATATTATATATATTCATTTAATAGTTTTGCAAAAAATAAAACTATACTTTGTTAGTTGTAATATACCAATAAATTTTATGTAATGTAACATTAAGCATGACAAAAGTTTTATTGGTAATATTTCGTTTTCCAATCTGCTAATTGAAAAATTGCGAAAAAAAAAAATTATAAATACAAATTGGCGCATCTGAGTTCTGTCATTTATCAAATGCAATACACGTGTCGCACTCGAAAGTGTGTGGGTTGGATGGTTACATATTTTTTAAAATATTAAAAAAGAACAAACGCAATTTGCGAATCAATCAAATTTTGCAACTTGTCATTCGTTTTTTTAAGCCTATGTATCAAATTTCGCGAATGTATTTGTATAACACTTAATTTTTAATCTGATTGTTGGCTGATTGATTTTCATTCCATGTTATTTATAAGCAAAAATAATATGTATAAAAATATAAAAATAATATATTGAAGATATCATTGATTCGCATTAATGCAAATGTATCTAACAGTCTAAATAGATCCAACTCCTGGCTCGCCCAGTTCGCCAAATGCGAATACATTAAAATGATAAATGAGTGCGATTATTTCCTTATTACCATCAAATTAATACTGTTCCTCTCGTTGACTTTGGCATTGTAATCAGTTTCCGTTTTGTTTTCCTTTCGCCGCACCCAGGTAAACAGGTAAAAAAAGTACGTAGCAAGTAACAACCTGGCGGCGACCAAGCGATTTATTGGCTAAAAATGAGTTACCACGCAGTGGGCCATCATAAAAACGAACAAACAATAAACATGCTAGAGCTGCTTTCGCTGACTATAAGATACCCAGTACTTTTATATGATAGGTGGCCTTTAAATATATATATACATATATACATTTTTATACAAAATACTTGTCTTAGGAAAATAATTACAACTTAGTCAAATATTTATACCAACACATTATTTATTTATTTATTAATGGCAATGTGCCTTTAAAATGATAAATAAAAGAGATTTCCTGCTCGCAGATCTTAACTTTTAACTCTTTAACCTTTGCACTTTCCTTCCTTTCTTGAATAAAGCTGACCTTAAGTTTTATATATTGATTGTATATAAAAAGTTCGGAAAATGCTTATTTGCCTGTTTAGTGAATTTATATTAAAATAAAAATATTGTTATAAAGATTACCGTTTAACCTGCGATTTTGTTCCTTAAAAACTTCGACAAAAATATTTTAATACAATATTAGTTAAAAAATATTAAGCATGGTACCGGTGTATAGTAAATTTTTTGTAAATTTCTATGCCCCAATTTTGTGCACGGGTATCAAAAATAAAATAAAAGGAAAATAACTTGAAAAGCCGAAGTTGAAAAATCCTTGGAGTTTGAAATTATAGGATCGAGTGGGAAATAAATCCAAGGGTTAAAATATTCACATTCACTCGTCTCTTTATGCTGATCATGAATATATATGATTTATAGGGTCGGAAATGACTCGTTCATAGCATTGCAAGCTTCTAATTAAAATTATAAACTATATACCCTGCAAGGGTATAAAAATTTGATATAAAAACATGCGGACGAAATCAAACACAATCAAGCGAATTGGGCTCCGTTCTAGTTCCAGTTCGGGTTACGTTGCTTGCACAGCCATTTGAGGCTGTCCGTTCGGTTGGTTAAAAATAATCAGACCACTTCGTGTCCCAGCAAGGACACAAGGAACCTTGCCACCGGCGACCTCCCCACCGCGGTAAACATCGTTTGTCAAGAGCTTTGACTGCCAAGGACTGGGCCTGTCCAGCTTGGGCTTCAGCTCCAGTTGCATTCTACCCTTCACTCAAGGACTTCCGTGAGTCGCGGCCGTGCGATAAAATAGTCGGTTACAAAATATTTGTTGACATTCCGCGGTAAATTACCATAATTAGTTGATTCGAGACCGACCCATGTTTGATCGGGGCAGCCGCGTGGTGGGAGTATTTGTGGGCGTGCGTGGGGTATCCGTGTCAGCCAGGCGGCGACATAATGCCACGCAGGACACTGCCCACGGCTAAAAGGATAATAATTAGAGCATATGTACGGATTGAGTGCAAATATTGACTCTGGGCCGAGCGTTTTCTTTGCCGCCCTCCATTCGTCATCGTTGTCGGGGTCGTTCCCGTGCGTAAACTCGAATTAATCAGCCTGATATCAATAACCGTGCAAACATAGCTTCACATAAAACATATGTATGCATATTGGACATGCATATGTCAAAAAACTTATGGCCACGGATTTACTACAAGGGAATTTGCTTATAGAAAAGGTGTCTTCATGCATGGGAAATGGTAATATTTGTTTTCATCAATAAAGTTATTGGTAATTTTTTATTAATTTAATTTAGTTTTGTTTTTCTTTAATTTTAGATTTATTTTGAACAAGAAAGGAAAGAAAACCCATAAATATGTTACCCTTCCATCATATAATAGCTGAAAAAAGAGAAGAACTCTTTAAAAGAGTCATTTCAACCGTCATATTTTCGATTAGCTTTAAAGCCCGAGTCGATCTATTACATGATTTTAACTGTGAAAAATCGAAAAAGGAAAGATATCCAAATTAATACTTTTTTGCCTATTATATATTATTATAAACAAGAAAGGGAACAAACTTTGAGAAACCGAAATTTAAATACCCTTACAGTTTTCAGTTTGAATTATAGGATCGAATCGGAAATCGTGCATAACTAAGCCTAAAATATTCTTGTTCTTGAATCCATATATATATGTATTTATATAATATTTTTATATTTTTTTTTTGTAAAAATCGAAGTTTAAAAAACTCATAACTAAGTCAAAGAAGCGTTTATTTTAATTCGAAAAGCCTTCACGTGTTAGTTCGAATATTAAATCTGCATAAATTTAAAATTTAAGAAAATAATTTTTTTTTCAAATTTTTGACAACTTTGATGATGTAACCCCTTATAAAATTTGGAAATATTAAAAAATGTTTGAAAATGTTCTTTTTTTATGGACATGTCTAGATCGATTTGCCTGTTGATTCTGATCAAGAATATATATGATTTATAGTGTCGGAAACGACTCCTTCAGTGCTTGAAAAGCTTCTGACTAAAACTGTTATACCCTGGAGGGGTATAAAAATAGATCTAATGTTCTGGTAGATATATTAAGTATTTTCTTGCTAACCCTTTCCTCAAAGGCAATATCCCAATCCCAATCCACTGAAAAGTTTATTTAAGAGTATCCACTTTCCCATTCCCACATAACTCATACAACTCGTCCTTTGCTCGACAATGACAAAGTCATTAGTCAGCCTCCGCATTTTCTTTTGGGACTGCTTAGAAACCAATGATATGAGGGGCTGAAGCAATGAACCACAAATGAATCCCAATCCACAGATCCCTAAACCACAGCGACAATTAATATGCCACTAAGCCCACGGCCACGACCACGCCCACACCCACACCCACTCCCACTCCCCCAATATAATGACCAAGCGGAGAGCGGCGAAGAGATTAGGACAGTCAAATGACTTTAAATTAAGCCGATGTGCGTCGTCGTCTGTCGATTTAATTAAAATCAAAACAAAATCTTTGCCCTCTGCCACGCCCCCTATCTACTTGGCGCAGTCGAGCAGTCCTTGTGCCAGCAAATAGACAAATAATAAAACCATAAATAATGCAAAACAATAAATGAGCAAATATTCATAAATTATGAACGCAGCAGCTCCAGCTCGACCGCTCCCCTTGCTTGGCTGACAAAAGGCAGGCACAAATACCCAAAATATTTTGCCCAAGCATTTAAAAGGACAATGAGGCACGAACCAGATGACAGAATCCGGGGAAGAATAGCAAATCCCCGCAGAAAATAATTGAGCCTCATAAAGGAAATATCATTCATTGATTTTCCTCCGGCGACCTCGACTCTCCAGACTCCGGCAGCAAGTGGATGAAGTCGTCGTCGGTGGCGGTAAATGGGGTGGCTAACTTTGGCCAAGGGAGCTGGAATGGCTCTTTCCTGGGATTCTGTCAGCAGCCAAGCAATATGGACAGCTGACGAAACTATCCAAAGGGGCGTTGGCAGATTTTCACATGAATCCGAAATCTATGCCCCGGCATGATTTGCACAAAAAAACTTGAGCTGGCAAATTTGTCAGTGGCGGTAAGGACACACCAAGGAGTGCGAAGGGGAAGGCAAAGGAAGAGTCCTGCTTTTTTCGGAGCAGAGAGAACAAATGATAAATTATTAAGGGATTTTTTGTTAATTTGATGACACTGATGATGGGCCCGGACCAGATTATCTGGACTGCCCTTTTCCTATTGGGTCAAAGCGAATATAATAAAAAACATTAACAATATTGTGCACGGATTATATATATTTTTGGGGATGTTTATATCATTTAGGAGATATTTACATATACTATAACAGGTAAAAGACGTTTTTATAATATATGTAATATTTACAGCGATTAGACTAAGTAGCCAAAAACAGTTGTTTTGTTTGAAAATCGTCGTTTCTATAAAACGTTGTGTGTTCGTTTTCCTTTATAGAGAACTAAAGAATCTAAAATGCCTATTCAAGATCTAAACAGATTAGTGACTAGTGACTAATCTTATGAAAATGGTGTTCTAATTTTTGTCTCCCTTCAACCTATACAACATCGCTTGTTTTAAAAACTAGTGCACTGTTAATAATATCGGCTATGGAACACCCTAAATATATTTGACCAAGAAATTATAAAGACATGTCGCAATATTTATCGATATCTTGATATTGTAAAGCATTATTCCAATTTTAAGTAAGTTGGCAGCGCCTCCAAGTGAAGCTCGGCCATTTTGTGGATTGACAACGTGACAAGAACAGTGGACTTGAAATATTATGCCCAGAGGAAAGCCGAAGAAAACCGGGGCCCCCAGAGGTCGAGGTACTAATTCCAAGCCCAAGCTGGCTAAATCAAAGAGCTCAGGGGCCGCCGATAATCCAGAACAAATTCCGCAGGAATTAAGTGTGGAAAAAATCACTGTAAAACGAAATGTGAGCGGTAAAGTCGAGATGCAGGTCAAATGGGAGGGCTTTCCTCCGGAGTGTAACACCTGTGTGCCCCTTGAGAAGCTTGCCGACTGCATACCTTTGGTTGCCCAGTTTGAATCGACGCTATCTGGTATGTTGAGAATGGCAAACAAAACCGACGACTCGTCGTCAAAAAGCAGCGGCACCGAGAAGAAAGATGGAGAGAAGCTCACAGAAAGCAAGGCATCCCCTGCCCCAGCACCCGGAGAACGCCAACTGAAAGCGGGTAAACCGACAGGACCCTGGCCAAACGTGGAGATCGAGACTCCATCCTCCTCATTCAACAAACGGAAAAATCTCACTCCAGCGGATGGGTACATATTTAACAGACCCTATTCGCCTTCACCGCTCTCAGAATCATCAGACTCTGACTCTCAGCCTCTCAGCATGCTGCGCATATCCTGCGCCGCTAAAGAGAATATGCCAAAAGTTGGATCTCCGCTAAACCCCCAGAAAAAACTACTACCGCAAACTAAGGATGTCACCAAAACAAGTGAGGAGAATCCGATTTCGCCAACCCCTGAGAATCCCATCGAAAAGGAAACGAATGATGTAAGTTAATTACATATAGCGAGATTGATTTGAATTTTAGATGGCGGAAACCTAAACCTAACCCATCTAATTAAACAGATTCGCAACATGAATTTCGCAGAGCATCGCCCAGAGGTCCAGACTCTAGACCAAGATTCCAAGAATGGCAAGAACTCAATGGAAAAGGACAAAAAGGGCTCGAAGGAAATCCAAACCTCAGAAAGCAGTGATGACGACTCGGATATCCCTTCGATGACGCCGTACCAGAACGTTTTCGGACTGGCTCGTGGTCTGGAGTTGGATAAAGTGGTGCACAGCATTCGTTTGTTCGATAGGCACTTTTTGTTTGTCACCTGGAAGGGTTCAAAAGAGGTAGATACGGTGCCTATTGAGGATTTAAAGGAGACATATCCTGCTAAAGTGCTAGAGTATTTTCAAAAAATGGAGCATCGCTACTAATGATGGAAATGCAGTTTTCTGAAATCAAAAGAGTTATTATTTAGCAGTTCTTTATTTGATATTTTAAGAGTTCAAATGTATAAAAATATCTGCCCAGCAAATACAGAAATAAAATGTTATCAAAGCCGTGCGGTGGAATACAACTGATTCAATACTCTTGTACGACACTACTTGAAATCTGCCAAGTATTAAAGTTTTTCTGTGTGAATTCCATTTTAAAATTAAATGCATCGAAATAAAGTCGATTATTATATTTTTCCAATCGTTTCTGTGGTTCTATATGATATATTCGTCCGATCTAGCCCCTTCCTAATTCTATACTACCAGCAATAGAGAGTAGACTATATCCAAAGCTTCAGATATCTGAAAACTGAGAGCCTATTTCGCATTTGAACGAACAGACGGATAAACGGAAATGGATGGATCGACTCGGCAGTTGATCAAGAATATATATACAGAATAGGATTGAAAACGACTCCTTCACTGTTCAAAATTATAAAACCCTGCAAGTGTATTAAAAAAGCTTACATTACGATTTTAATTCTATGCGCTGCTGTTTTAAATGCATCAGCTTTTTGTCAGTTTGACGGCAGTCAGAATCCCTCCACTGGTTTGCGTACGAGCTACCATATTTGTGTGGCAATCATCTCTCCACTGGCTTAAGTCCGAGCTAGCATTTTTCCAGTGTGACCAACTAGTTCGGACTTAAAGGAACCTAAGCCAAATAGGGAACTTTTCAAATTCCCTTAAGGGTCATACCGCGTCACTTTGAGAAATACAAAAATACAAAATATTGGCGTCAAATGCAAAAAGCATAAAAATCCCAGGATCGAAAAGCGCTCGCAATGAGTGCGTACAATAGGCGAGCGGCGCTGCGCAAGAAGAGTCCCAGCCAGGGCTCCTTCGACGCGGAGATGGACGAGTCCGGGTACACGTCCTTTCGAGCGCTGCACAACTCCACCGCCGAGACGCCATTTTTGTTGGACGAACCCGAGAACTGTCGGAATGCATCCAATACTGGGCATTTGGTGCGAGGACTGTCGACGCCAAGTGGCCAAGTGGAGTTGCGGGACATAAAGTTTCCCAAGAGCTTGCCCGAAGTTCAGAGTTCAATGGCGGAGGAGCCTTGTTCCACGACGCCCCGATTGCAAGAGGCGCACAGCCTTCCGAAGCGCCGTAAGAAACACTTTCAGGCGCCTCACAGCAGCCCGAGGAAGTCGAAGAAGCTTTTGTTTCCGCAAGAAGAGAAGCCTTCGGCCAAAAACCGCTTCTATGGCGGCGTAGAGCGCCTGGACATCGTCGGCAAGCTGTCGCAGAAGCAGCCTGCTCTAGAATGCATTCTGCGTTATGTGGGTGCCCACACGCTGGACGTGATGACCCAGGTGTCGCTGGTGTGGAAGCAAGCCATACATAAAAGCCAGCGGGCCCTGGAGCGGCTTCAGAACCACCGGCTCAAGCTGAGTCTCACCAAAGAGAATCCTCATGTGCCCAAGCGGCGCCGCCATCTACAGAGGGCGAACTCAACAGTGCCATTGCAGAGTTCGAATCACAGCAGCCAGGCCAACAGTGCCGCATCGCTGATGGATTCCGGGAACTCAAGCATTCACCTGATGGACGTGGATGCTGGACGGATTTTACGTGAACAGACGCAGCGCGTCAAGTGTCCCCGCTGCGGACGAGGAAGTCGGGTGTTTCTCAGCGAAGTGCCAACGAGCGGGGACAATCTCATGTCCCAGACTTTGCCCGGTGGTCGAAGCACTTTCGCCGCCGGACACATGAGCGACCGTCCGCCACTGATGCGCTTCTTGTCCCTGGACCTGGACGACATCAAGAGCCCACATCAGGCGCCGGCGTACAACTTCGCCGAGTGCACCAGTGTCATTTGCCAGTTCCGTTTCTGCGTCAACTGCCTGAGCAAGTCGCATCCCGGCGAGCGCTGCCTGGTCACCGAACTGGATACGCCCTCCAAGCTGATGATGCCCCGGGAGAGACTGACGCCGCCGCAGCGTTCCCAGCCCCGTGACGCCAAGATCAGCCGGAAGAACTCGCTCAAGCGTCTCTGCTTTTAGCCCTAGACTCTAGGTTTTTTAAGTCCTGTAACGTCTAGTATTCGGTTTGTTCAAACCTCATTATTCACGTATTACGTTGTTCATTTTGTCATCACCATTCTTGATTTTACATCGTTCAAACTGCAAGATTCCTCTGTACCTCTCTGAGATTAAGACAGTAACATAAGTATTCATTATAAAATATGCGAAATATAAGAACCATTAACTATTACTTTTGTTTTCATTTTTTACTTTTACCAGAGTTCACGGAGGTGTGTATACATTTTAAAATTATAATGTTACAACATGTAAATTTATGAACTTTTTAAAATTATAATTTTAAAACACTTCTATTAATGGGGTAGACCACCCTGACATTTTTAAAAAATCTTTTTTTTTTTTGTTTTTACATAACTTTGATGCCAATATCCTTATGGTCATTTTAAAATATCGGGCTTAAATATATTATTTTATTATATTATTTGTGGATAATACACCCAATAGAAGTGAGCACGTTTTGCAAAAACTGCTGGACCGATTTTTCTTCAATTTTTTTGCACAGCTTCTCCATAACGTTCTCTATGGCATGACGTTGTTTTTTTTTAATATGATTTTTGTTTATGTTATAATTTTTGTAAACAAAAATTTCGTCTTAAACAAATCTTTATGTTTCAAATAAAAAATGTGGTGTGCAGAATGTACACCATACGACCATTCCCTAAAAACAAAAATTTCATGCGTTCAGGGTGGGGTACCCCTATAAATAATTAGTTATTAATTAATTATAAACCGCTCTTGAATAAAATGTGAACTAGTTCGCGGCACAAGTTCAAGATTCACGTTCCCGGAAAGTATATTTCAACGTCCTAGATGAGGTCACACTAAAACAAAACACGTGTGGAGTGCGGTCCAGGTTTATTATTATTCTCGTGCCGATTTTGAAGCTCATATAAATCACAAAGAAAAGGCGAAAAGTCGAAGCCAAGATGACCACCTCGTTGGCCCAGCAGCTGCAGAAATTGGCGGCGCCGCAGACGTCAGTGACTCTTGCGGACGCTCGCAGCCGGGCCTCCATTCTTTTCGATCCCAAAGAGGCGGCCACCAAGGATAGGCGGGAGATCTACCAAATCGGATTGACCGGGCTGCAGGAGCTGACAGACTTCAATCCGGCCTTCAAGGAGTTCCAACTGACACTGTTCGACGAAGCCACCCTGACACTGGAGCGCTCCGTGGAGCTGCCGGAAGTGAACAAGCTGCTGGACGCAGCCATTGCTAAGTTCCTGCGTTTGCTGTCTCCCTACCTGTTGCTGCGCCCCGCCCACATGGCCTTCGAGTGGCTGCTGCGTCGCTTCCAGGTCCACGAGTACAACCGCGACCAGGTGATGGCTCTGATACTCCCCTACCACGAGACCAACACCTTTGTTCAGATCCTGCAAACCATGAGGCTACGCTCCTCGGATGCCGATTGGTTCTGGCTGCGGCCTCTGCAGCGCCCAGGAGTGTCTTTGGCCAAGACCGCCATTGTCAATCGGGCTGCCAGCAACCCGGCCTTTCTGCGCTTCATCTGTCAGGGCACCCAAAAGGCCGTTAAAGAGCTGGGCCCCCGTGCCCACCAGCTGCAGGCTCAAATTAACTTCTACGCCACCGTAGTGGTCGGGGCCCTACAGACTGCCAATCCGCTGCAGGACTGGCACATCACCACCATTCTGGAGTCACTGCTGAGGGGCCTGGCATCCGATACTATTGATTTTATGGCCGCTGCGTATGTCATCGTCGCTCAGCTCGTCTCGCGCACCAAGCTGCAGAGTAAAGTGTGTAACGCTCTGCTGGAGCGAGTAGCCAACTGTCCATTTGAACGCCTGCACACCGAGTCCCTGCTCCTGCTCATATGCATCTACGGCAAACAAAAGGCTGCCGTGCCTCACTTCAAGCCGGAAACCGTGCTCAATCTGGTTGGCCAAAAGTGGCTCATCTCGGCACTGGTCTCTCTGGCCAACGCCAATGTCGCCATTCAGTCCATTTGCATGCCCTTAGTTACGTGCGCCGTGGCCGCCATTCGAGAGGATGTCGCCGTCTCCAGCTCTTACAAACAATTCTTGGACAATCTTCTGTCCGAAGTGCCTATGACTACGCCGTGCGCTCAGAAACTGATTGAGTAAGTTGTGCAATTCACTCAAGTATTAAGGATAACATAATGTCCATTCTTAGCTGCTTTTTGGATACTTTTGTGGAGACAAAGCCTGAGGCCGTCGAGCCCATGGACACCGATGAAGACACTATTGTCATTGATTCAGACGATGATGAGGCAGCAACGGAGAAGACCAGCTTTGAAACCTGGTATGCCGGCTATCTGGGAAAGTTGGAGAAACGCTATCCAGAGGCCTTTGACCTGAGTGTTAAGGAAGCCCTAAGGGCCAAGTCGACCACTACCAATCGCCAGAAGGCCTTGAAGTTGGCCTTGGGTAAGTGCACTTCTGATCATTTTAGATAATCTTTACTTTACCATCTCTTTGCTTAGGTTTCCGCCTCAACACTTCGGATGACAAGGCGAAGCGGGCCTATGAGAAGCTCTACCACTATAGCGCCGACTGGCGTCTGAGTGCGGTTCAGCAGCTGCTGCACAACCTTAAAATCAGTAAAAAGCGAGAGCGCAGTGTAAAGCTGCTTAAGGAATGCCTGCCGGACAGAATCAACGATGACAGTGGAGCTGTGGTCTCCGCCATACTTTCATTGACCACGGCTGAGCTGGCCGAAATGTTGGGTCAGCAAAGCCTAACCCAGACCCTTTGCCACCTGGTGCACCGAGCCCAATCAGAAAAGGATGAAGAATGGCAGCCTGTGTTGGTGCCGGCGGTGCGTCATTTGACCACCGCCACTGGGAGTGGCAACTACGATGAAAATATGGTACTGCTGGCCCTGATGCCGCTGCTCTTCCCTGGCGGTGCTTTGACAGAACACGAGCACGCTGCTCTGGTAATTTTGATGGGCAGTGAATTTGCCGGAAGAGTTCCGTTCCTAAAAGAACTAAAGGTGAGCAGCGAATTCAAGGATTTCAGGCCTAGCGAGCATCGGCAGCACTTTTTGGACGTGATAGCTGGCAGCAGCCATGAGCTGATCAGCCAGGAAAGAGCTCTGTTGCAAAGCGTTGAGGAGCACGGAGGTAAGAATTACCTGGAGAAGCCAGCCCAGCTAACACACCTGCTCCTCCTGTTGACCGCTTACGCCAAACGGAAACTACAACCATCGGAGAGCTTGCACGTTCTGGATAAGATCGAGCTGTACAGTCGCCGTATCCAGTTCCGTGCTGCCAAGGCTAATCGTAACTCCCAAGACTTTGTTCCTCTCCAATTATACGTTGATTTTCTGCTGACCTTGGTCAAGAACACGAAATGGACATCACTGAAATCGACGCCCTGGAATCAGCTTAACGATGAGTTACGCCTGTGTCTCCGCCTGCTGGAGATAATATGTGGCCAAGTGTTCTCGGACCGTGTGGATCCCCTAGAGCGTCAGGAGTGGACGCGTGCACTACAACAAAGCTTTCAGATGATGTTACCCGAGGCGCAGGACAGGCTGGAACTGCTCTCCAACTTTTATGTGTTCGAACGCTTGCCGGAACTATGGCCTAGAGACTCGGACTATGCCGTGTTCCGCTTACAGGGTTTCCTGCTCCTTGAGGCGGTGCTGTCCAACCCGAAGTCTCAGCTTGATTGCACCCTAGTGCATGTGCTACGAGTGGCGAACGCCTGCAGCTCCCAACTACAGACACTGCGGGTGCAGGCCATCAACACTCTTCAGCTAATCGGCAGTCGCTGCAAGCTGGTTACCCATGTGGAGCAGCTGGTGCGATCGTTGTTGCAGAGAAAGAGCGAGTTGAGCATGGACCACGAGCAGTATGCACTAATTCTGTTCACCATCATGGAGCCGGAGAGGGCCACGGCCAAGGAGCAGCTTGTGCTGTCCAAGCTGAGGAGAGCGGTTCTGGCCTTGGCTTGCGATCCCCAGCAGCCTGCCATCTGTACGGCGGCTCTGTTGACGGCTCTTAAGCATGTTAACGACAAGCATTTCCTCGGAGAACTGCTGCCCCTGGGACTCGACGCTCTAAAGAAGATAACCGACGGTGACGGTGATGGCAGTCGGCACCTGAAGCAGCTACCGTGGCCCCACAGCGAGATCTACAAGTCGGTGATGGAGAGGTTTGAAGGGCAAACAGCAGTACATGTCTTGCTCCAAAAGCCCCAGGCTTGGGAGCTTTTCGAGGCGACATTCGCCCGCCAGGATGTCTATATCCAGGTTGAACAGAAACTCCAGCCCTTGCCCTGCGTCCTGCTCAACAGCCTTTCGCCGGAGACTTTCGAGCGTCTGCAGGCGGCGCAGAAGGTGGCCCTGATCAAGCTCATAGTGGAGGCGGCGACCCGTTCAGACAACGATACCATATTCCTGGCCAGCCATCGACTGCTGAAGCGCTGCAGCTTGGAATGCCAACCCCTGGCACCAATGCTGGCGAAGATGATGACCTTCAAGCGGAAGTCGTTGCCGGAGAGCCCGAATGTAGGCGCCAAGCGACGCAACGCAGCGACTGGCACTCAACAACTGGATCTAACCAGTGAATCCTGGAAGCAGGGAATGACTCTTCTAGAGCTGCTGGAGCACAAGAAACTTCTGATTGGATCGGAGCTGCTGATTTCCCCGCTCTTCGAACTCCTTAAGGAGTGCCTTGCGATGGAAGAGCACAGTGCCGCCGAGTACCCCAAGCAACTCATCCTCGCCAGCCTCTTGCACTGCTGTCAAACAGCCCAGTTGGCTGGAGTGCAGTTGACTAAGGCCCTGCCGGAGTCCTGTTTCCGCATCGAGTTGGTAGTTCAATGCCTACGGCATACGCGGAACCCCCAGACCCAGCAGCACGCCCTGCTCTTCCTTGCCCAGTGCGCCTCCATGTACCCGCAACAGGTGCTGCACAACATCGTCGAGATCTTCACATTCGTCGGCTCCACTGTGGCACAACACGATGACGCCTTTAGCGTTCACATCATCCACAAAGTGGTGGAGTCAATCATACCTATCCTGTTGCTGAAAACGGGCCAGAACGAGCTGGTCATTCCCGTGCTCAAGGTCTTCGCTGATATCTGCACAGATGTTCCACGGCATCGTCGGCTTCCGCTTTATGACACACTGTTCCAGGTCCTGGAGCCCAAGAAGCACCTCTGGCAATTCCTGTGCATCGTGGTCGACAACCATGTGCTGCTGGATCCGAAGAGCGCAACGGACCAATCCCGGCTAGAGTTTGGCCGTGAGCTGGTGCTGATGTTCGAGGATCCGGCGGTGGGCCTGGAAACATGCATCCGGCTGCTGGATTACTTAACCAAGCTGCCGGCAAACAACAACAACAGCCAATCGTCGCCATCAACGGGATCCACCTCCTTAATTATATCCACGGAACAACAGCTCTTCGATGTGCGTTCCCGGTCCTTCAAGCAACTGCGCCACTACAAGTACCTCATCATGGTCTTTCTTTCCGGAATCAGTAGTTGCAACGAGTGGCAGCAGAAGATGAAGCGGCCCGATCCCACAGAGCTGCTGACATACTACCAGGAATTCATCCTCAAGACCCTAGCCAACATTAGTGTGATAAACGCAGCCTTGGAAGCTGTTTCGGGTACGCCCTCATTAGAAAAGTACTGGAGTGTGATGGCGAACCATACCCATGATGTGCTGGATAACGCCATTGGACTGCTGGCGCCGGAACATTTCCTCAACGTGATCACTGAGCTATTGCAGCACGACCTTATCCATGTCCGCACCAAGGTGCTGGAACTGCTGGTGGCCAAGCTGGATCATCCCACCACCGACTACTTCCAGTACACGCCCGCCGAACACATTTCAGTCCTCTTGCCTCCGCTGCAGGCGATCATAGACGGCATTCTAGAGGGAGGTGCCGGCAGCGCTCAGCTCGCACAACTGCAGCAGACGGCCCTGCATGCCATGCAACTGCTGGCACAACGCCACGGCCGAGACTTTATTGAGGAGTGTCGATCGCTTCTGGCCACTCTCACAAGGATTACCAAACGCCGTGCGAATGTTCCTAAGGCGGTAGTGGGCAATGTTGTGCTCACCCTCGTTGAGATTTGTGCTAGCCTTAAGGCACATGCGCTGGCCCAGCTTCCGAAGTTCGCGCCCCAGCTGACGGAGATGCTCAAGGAACAAGTCCACCAAATGACGACTCTGAAGCAAGGTCCCGATTATGTCTGTTCCACCCTTGTCACCGGTAAGTTCTTCGACACCTTCTTTGATCCGTAATCCTTATCTCGCAATGTGATTACAGCCTTGCACAAGCTATTCAAGGCTCTGCCTGCGTTTCTGGGTCCCTACTTGGTGGACATTATCGCTGCCCTGGTACGTCTATCCGTCCAGCTGGAAAGCCCCTTGCTGCTGCAGGACAAACGCACGCAGGCGATGAAGCTACGCCTGGTTGACGTCTGGGCGGCTGTTGCGCAGGGCGTGCAGGTGCGCATTCTAGTGCCTAGTTTCACCAAGACTTACAGCTGCCTGCTGGAGCAGCAGGCCTATGACGAGCTGGGTCAGCTGATGCAGCAGCTCCTTCTGCAGGCCATCAGGCACAATACGGCTGCACAACTGCAGCCAGTGCAGGAGGCGCTCAGTGAACTGTTCTTGCAGGCTCTCGCATTCCGACTGCAGGTGCGTGGCCGCGGCCTAGATAGGCAGCAGGTTTCCGATGTGGAAGCCGCCATTACGGAAACCTTTGTGACGTGGATCCTTAAGTTATCGGAGACCAGCTTCCGACCCATGTATGCCCGTGTGCACAGGTGGGCGATGGAGAGCAGCGCTAAGGAAACGCGCCTCACCTACTTCCTGCTGACCAACCGCATAGCCGAGGCTCTGAAATCACTGTTTGTCCTCTTTGCCAGCGAGTTTGTTGACGACTCCTCGCGGTTGCTGGCCGAGCACAATTCGATAAGTCCCGATTTCAAAGCTGGAGACTCAGAGGACGATGTGGAGCTATTAATGGCCATTTTGAGCACCCTTCATCATGTTTTCTTGCACTGCAGCGAGGACTTTATTAACGAGCATAGATTTAATGCGCTGATGACGCCGCTGGTAGATCAGCTGGAGAACGAACTGGTGCTGAACCATGAGCCTCTCCACCAGGTGCTCAGCAGCAGCATTGCCCAGCTGGCGGTGGCCAGCAACGATGTTATGTGGAAGCAGCTCAATAGCCAGGTCTTACTGAAAACACGCACTCCCACACCCGAGGTGCGTATTCTGGCCTTCAACACCTGCGTGGCCATCGCCCGCAAGTTGGGCGAAAGTTATGCCACTTTGCTCCCGGAAACTGTGCCTTTCATCGCCGAACTGCTGGAGGATGAGCACCAGCGCGTCGAAAAGAACACACGTTCGGCAGTGCAAGAGCTGGAGACCATTCTGGGTGAACCTGTGCAAAAATATTTGTAATAACCGCAAACTGAGAAGTTTGTTTTTCAAACTGTATAAAGTTAAAGAATTCAATATATTTTTATTTTGGACATCAAGTGAATTATTGTAAAATCATTTATAGTTCGTGGCAAGTTTGGGGCCCAAAACATCTTCTATTTAAATTGTGTCTTGCAATTAAAAAAAAAATATTTTAAAACTTCTGGTAAGAGAATGAGTTTAAATGAGTTTCTTGTTTAAGCCCTTCTATTAAAGTTATTTTTTATAAAGATACACCAATGCATTATACAAAAATATCAATCATGATTATGTTAACTTATTCATTTATTTTGGAATGCAAAGTCCGCTTAAGCTAATGTACATTTTCTTAATAACAATCAACATTATTCTTGGCCCCGCCGAAAGTCGAGTTATGTGCAATTCGCCTATGTATTGTAGGTGTAGGAAATGGTGGGAATGTGGGCGTTGTTAAGGGTATTGTCGTGGGTCTCCTTGTCCTCAGGAATTTCGGGATCTTCGCGTTCCTCCTCCTCGTCAATGATGCTGATGTCTCGAATGGACGGTCGATGGCTGCGTCGCCAGCCGCTGAGATCCTGCGGCTGCTTTGTCTTGGTCAGCAACTTGGTGCCCGTCACAGAGATGAGGATAGCACCCAATGGAGCGGTCAGCACTATGCTGAAGACACAAATTGTCTGCACAATATTTGCCCAGTTGCGCTCATCCTCCGTGGAGTTATCGTCCAGGTGCTTGAGGGCCACCGGACCGAGTGCCGCCTGCACAGTGGCCTTGGCCATCCACGAAAGTCCAACAAAGAACTTCTCCTTGGTGTTAAGACGATCGCCGAACGCAATGCCCGCCGTGGTGAAGATGCGCAGGATGGCTCCGGTGAAGATGCAGGCCGCTCCGATCGACACTGTATGCGAGTCCAGCTCGCGGATCTTAACGGTGGCGCCGGTGAGCCCGAACAGGATCGGCTCGAAGATCATCCAGAAAATCTCGAAGGCGGTGGACACCGGATTATCCTCCACGTTCCAGCCGTCCTTGCACCAAAACAGGTTTGAAACAAAGGCCGAGAAGACGACTGCCAGAGGTCCGGCGCCTTCGAAGCCCAACTCCTCGCTGCCATAGATGGCCATCAGACCGCCGGTGAAAAGCAGCAGCGTTCGCAGAGGTACGACAAAGGCGTCACCCTTCTCCGGGAAAATGCGAGCCAGCGATCCCCAGATGACACCGAAGCCCAGTCCGCCAAGGATGCACACCGGAGCCTGAGCGATCTGGTAGGCCAGGCCCTTGTCGGAGAACATCACCGTGCTGATGATACCGAAAATGGCCACCGACAGTGCATCATCGACTCCGGCCACGGCCACCACCAGTGTGGGAATACCCTTGGCGACGCCATAGCCCTTGGTCCTCAGGCGGAATAGACAGGGCACCACAACTGCCGGCGACACCGCTGCAATGATGGAGCCAAGCAGGAAGGACCAGATCCAAGGAAGGTCGAGTAGGAAATGCGACATCACGGCCATCACGACCGCCTCCACGCACCAGGGGATAATGCCCAGCTTAAGGATCGTTTTGTACACTTTCTTAAAGGCCTCTGGCTCCATCTCGAGGCCAGCTCGAGTCAAGATTATGGTGAGCGCAAATTTACGCAAGTGAGCCGTCACCTTGGAGAAGTCGCCATCGAGATTCGCCCAGCCCACGTTCTGGAAAAATGAAAATAGAAATTTTAAAAAGTAATTAAACGTGATCACCTGAAGGAGGTTTACCTGGAAGAGTATGCCCACCAGGAGCATGCCGATCAGTCGAGGCAATGTAGTCAATGATATCAGATATCCGCCAAAGTTGGCGGCCACAGTGAGTACAACCAGGCCGAACAGCTGCCCTCCAGGGGCTGCCGAGTCGCCAATGATCACGAAGGCCGTAACCCAGATGAGGACACCTTAAGAATAAAAAGCGTTTAATTAATTTTCTTAAGTTTTATCATAGAATAATGATCAAAATATTCGATTAAGGTTCAATATTTACCGATCAGGATGAGGGAAATCAGGCGAGAGACTGTCCTGAAAGTGGGACACAGCGGGTAGGGGAAGATCTTCTGCCAGAAGGGCGGCTCCCAAGATGCTGATGGCTCCTCGCCGCGGCACTTAAGGCAGAATGTGTACATCCAAGACTCCTCGACATAGTTGGCCCCGCCATTGCTGTCACCCACCGAGGTGTGTCCCATCTGGTGGCCATTGTATTTGGCATTGAGCACGTCCAGCGCATTCTGTCGATAGTTTTCTGAAATTGAAATAAAAAAGATGTTGCCAATCACTTAATGAAGGAATGAACACAGAAAACCCAGTTCTCCGAGGGTTGTTTATCGCCAAGGAAAATTATCTCGTCAGTCATCATGGACCTCTAATTAGGTGATAAATACAGTCCTAATATCGTCGGGGAGAACAAGCTGACATACAAACATACGTCAGAGGCAAGACCTACGCAATAATATTGGAAATTATTAGAGCCAACTTCACCCGGACCGCTAATTGGTAGTGTCAATTGGAATATGAAGTGGACGCAAAAATAGACGGAACAGCCACTGATCAAACAGGCGTTGAATTTGCATTACTCAAGATACAACAAGTCAGCGATGAAATGAGAAACTAATTTTTAAGGTAGCAAAGTGGAAAAATATTACAGATTTTATTTACTTTAATTTTTCCACTAAAATATGAAAAAAGAAAAAAAACTTTAAAGAAATGTTAAAGATTGCACCTTTTGATTTAGTTTAAAATAACTTTTACTCTACAGGTTCAAATGTCCCACATTGGAATATATGTATATATTTTATTTCAACTGCAGTTCATTAACTGATATCTTTTTTAATATTCCACCACAATGGTTGGTTAAATAAATCGCTGACTTTTTTTAATTACTCGCATATTGTTCTTAAACTTCATTTTTGCACGTATTATGGAAGAATTTTATGCACGTGCAAATTACGTTTAGTAGAGAGTTCACAATGTGCGCCACGAACGGGTTAAGAATTATTTTATTAGATGATAAAGTATATATTGTAGTCAAATTCATATTTTATAATATATTTAAGTATTTTATGAAAACTAATATTAGGAATCACAAAGAAAAAAAATTAGAGTTTATAATCATTCAAATTGTATAGAAATTCAAGGCAGATTCTATGTTAAATTCTTTCGTAAATAATGTAAAAATGAATGTTAAAAAGTTATTTAAAGTTTTAGATATTTTACGTGCAATATTAAATAGTAAAATTTAATAGTTATTTTAATGATCGTTGTATTTTATTTTCTAAAATATATTTAATTCAAACATTTCAATGCATTGCCCAAGCGAACCTAATTCAAATAATATTTTTTGGTAAAATAATAACTTTTGTTAAGTTAACTTATGAAAGATAGGTTAGGTTAACTTATGAAAGATATGTTATAATATCCTACACAACAAACAGACCATGAAATATGACATTTCAAAGGGGAATCCCCTTTAATTATGTATGTTTTTGTAAAGATATTTTGAATATTAGTTCTTTTCTTGATATATTCTTTGAAAAACCCACCGTAACTATGCGTCGAGGCCCGATCGCTTTCGTAGTCATGTGGAGGCGCAGAGTCCTTTAGAATGCTCTTCCTTCGCGCTGGTCCAATATCGCTGTGCGAGTGTGTGGAGGTCTGAGGATAGAATAGAACTTGGTTTTATTTTAACCTGGTATACCGTTATCTTTGCGCGTAACTCTTCCGATAATCAAAGCTCGTCCCATATAAACATACGTATGTATATATATTGTTTTTCATTAGGAGATTGCATGTCGCGCACACGAAAATCCTATTTTACGATGCCCCATCAAACGAAATGATCGCAATCGCAATCGCTCAACCGCCACTCACCTGGGAAATTTTACGTCTCGGATTTTGCTCATAGGCTGGATTATCGTATCCGGAACCAGGGCCACCGCCGCCGATAGCTGGTGGATCCGAAATAATGCTGACCCGCCGCTTGGGCTGGCTCTCGATGACGATGGTACTCTTGTGATTGCCACTGCCATTGGAGTTGGGCATGGGCACATCGCTGGGCACAGGATTCGGAGACGGAGGCGTAACGATGGTCGCCGGAGCACCGGTAGTAGAGTCCTCCCGAGCGCCTGGCTCTCCCGTGGCCGTCATCGTTTTGTGGCTCTATCGAAACGTACGAGATTTTAGGATCAGCGATCTAGGCGGGATGGACGATGGCTTAATGGTCGGATTAATGGCTGGGAGGCTTACACTAAACATCAGGGACAGCGTTCCGAATCAAAGGCATAAAAATATTACGGCCCGATACGCGACTTTTTACAACTATCTCGTTCGACGTTTAGCAATGAAATAAATTCATTACCACGCGGTGGGAATCCAACAGCTGCAGGTGCACACACACACCTGTGTAGGATCGCACAGATACTAGTAGACACCTGCTATATGGATACACTGAGAGAAATGGCAGTGTGCTAATTGAAAGGGCAAACTATTGGGTAATGGAGCAAGGAATTTACATAGTTTGATGATCAAAAGCTCAGAGCGATAATTGCACATCTTATTTTCGGAACAACTACTTTACAATGCAAATTAAAAATATTTAAAAAATATTTATAAACAAATCGTTTGTGCGTTTAAGTACGTAACTCTATATATAAATTTTATAAATTAGAACAAATAAAAAAGAAGGGCAATGATACTTCACAATCAAAACGTTAATAAATATAACAAAACAAAGGGCCAAAGTGAAGTCCTTTGATACTCCTCAAGACATTGACGATAACCTAAGTAAAGAGTAATTTGAATTCAATAATAAATGTTTTAAAAGTCCCAGTTCCAGGAATCAGTCTTCCCTTACATATAATTTTATTAAATTTACTTCACACATTTTATTATTTACTTATACGTTGAGTATTTTCTCGCACTGCACATTTGTGAAGTTGTGAAAACGTTAAAGAGTAACGTAAATATTAAATAAATATTGTAAAAAAAATACTAAAAACCTCAATAAAAATTAACGGCAATTAGCTTTAATTATATCACAAAATGTGAAAGAGCTAGACGACATAGATATGAACGTATAAGTATATCGCCTCCTATGAATATGTAAAAACCTGGTCGGTTCTCGCTTTGATGACCAAGAAGTTTTTACCCATTTGTTTGACGTTCAATTATGACGCGTTTTATCTAAACAAATTCACGTGAGCTCGGTTTAATTTCCACTTTTTTCGCCCCTTTAATTATCCACCGGCGCGCTGAGACGTCTCGAAATAATGAGGCTGAATTGATTATTTCATACATTTTGGCGATTATTTGTTTTTCGGGTCTTTCCGTTGTTTTCGTGTGTTTTATTTTTCATTTTTTGATTCGATTCTGCGGCGAGGAGAACAAAATGTGACATCAAGTCATGCGGTTCGTTAGCTGAAATCAAACAAAGCCACAGGCGAATGTTGGTTGCCTGGCAAAATGTTGATTTAAATTGTTTTTTCTAAAGTTTCGTTATACAATTTGCTAATTTATGGTTCACACAAAAGCTGGTAGCAAATAGCAGGTGACAAGTCCCACTGAAATGCGAGCAAATTGATTTATTGTGATTTTTATGGTCACCCAACCCCTTTGTTGGGGTTAAAGAAACCCGAAGAACCCGAAAAATATGGGGTATCTATTTATTTCCTCAAGTACACTGATCTTCAATTACCTTGTCATTAAACAATGTGCAACTGTGCAACTCGTTGACTTTATTCACGCTCTGATTAGAACCCTAAATATAGACATAAAATGTATAAAAAGGGGCTGTCAGGCAGACATTGATATCAGGAGGGAACTCACGAAGAAGAGTCTATTTGCAATCACAACTGCATAATTGACCAGCCACGCTCAATGTTTTCAATTTTCACCTTTAATTAGCGCCGATTCAACACAAGTCTGCTATTGATATGAGTAATTTGCCGCGAAATAATTGTTTTAGATAATATTTATGCTTGGACAGTCACCTCAGATCAGGCAGGTGAGTGCTGCAGGCTTTCCTGCTCCATCTCAATCTTAATTCGGAGCGATGCCTCAAAAAAGAGCTACGAGTTTTTCCCAATATTTTTTTTCGGGGGCTCGGGGCTCTAATTGACGCGTGTCTGGTCTCAGACAGCGACAAGTTGACAAACTTTCAACACATCACCATCATCATCATCATCATCATCATCGGCGTATCATCGTCACGTGCTATCATGCGAACAAATGGCGAACAAAGGGGCTTAATTAGCATTCGTGTGTCATCTGTTAATGTCTTAGGCACTATAGGCAAATATATATCTAGACATATAACCTTAAGTGCACAAAATAAAGCGACTTACAAATCTTTGATGTCTTTATTCAAGTCACTCAGAGGAATCCTTCACTAGGGAATTGTTATTACTTATTACTACTTTTCAGTATTATTTGGTCTGAGAACTGTATTGAAACATTTTCTGGGTAGGTGGTTTATTCAACATAATTACCTATAAACTATAAGAAGATTTACATAATTTGTTCAATTTGGACCTCCAAAATGTATGCAATGGAAAATGGTTGCTAACTTATCGGGGCGTTTCATTAGAACACTAATAATAGTCAGAAGAAACTTCCTTGCTTTGGAACTATATTTTATTTTGCGTATAATTATGTTTAAATTCTATTTAATACTTAAGTTTTAAGTTACTTGTTTAATAATATTTGTTTCTTTTTCTAAATATAATTCATACGAATACTTTTTTAATTAGTTTAAACCAAAACACAATTCTTTAATAATAAGAATCTGTTAGAAAAAAGTCAACATTTGTTGACTTTAAACTGAGCCCAACAATGTCTTAGAAAAGTTTATTATTTATAAGCATTTGAAGGATCCAAATGGATAACAAAAATATAACCACCCAAGCGAGACGACATCCTTCCGAGAAAGCATTCTGCTAATTGTTGTTTCCCTGTACCTTTTTTTTCTTCAAGTTTCCCTTTGGACAATTCTAGGCTATTTTTGCATTCAGCTTTGTTACCATCAGTTTTGCCGCTCTGTGACCTTGCTGGAGGTTGCCCTTTCCCGCCTGGCCCCAGCTTACACCTACTCCGAAAAGCATTTTGCATTGCCAACGAGCGAACAACGACAAGGAATGATTCTACGTGACATGTTTGCCAGATCGAATTGGCCGGAGCTCAAGCAAATTCGCTGTAGTTAGTTAGCTTGGGTCAGTTGGCCCGAGCGGGTGCGTTGGCCAGTTGGAGAGTGGCGGAGCGGACTGGTCAGGGCCCCGGATTACTTATCACGAACGTCGCCAAGCCGTTTTCGTTTTTAGCCCAAAAAAGGTTTTTCTTCTTCGAACGCTTCATGCCCCATTGCACAATGGCCAAAAGCAAAGAGTGCCGAATTGGGACAAAAGCATTTACATTTAACACCGATTTTTAAATTGCAAAGGTGTCCGATGGGTGCTTCTGTGTTTCGTTTCGTCTGTTGGGTTTTTGGATGTGGCTAAGTGTAAGCCATCGGTGACTCCCTGCCAGGCTACAAACGCTTCTATGTTCTCCGATTGGCTCCGCCTTTGCCTTATTGCCATTGTGTTAATCTAATCGCGTGCTCTGAACGAGCGTTGTCTACCAGACTATAGACTATAGTGTATTCAATATAGTAGATAATCAAGGCAGATAATAAGTTTCGCATTGTTACACAATTAATCCCCCCAAGGCACTTGAGTGCAGGAAGCGTGTAAATTTTGAGATCGATTCACTTGAATCACTAGAAATTCAAATGGAGGAAAAGTTTCACTTGTTACTTTTACGGATTGCTAGAACTAGAATGCTAGATAGATAGTAGAATCTTGGACACTTGGCTAATCTCACTCATACCCTTATATTACAGAGGGAATTCCAGCCTGGTTAATAAAACTCTCGAGTGAAAATTGATTAGAAAATGTTTTCTAAAGTGTAAGTTGGCTTTTACTGAGCGGCCTTTGCTTGGACTTATGGTGAAGTCTTGATTTAAAAAACCAAGCAAACTGAATCTTTCTGATACTTCAAGGAACTTTGAAATAGTTCAAGAAAGTAACTACAAATACAAATAATAAATTATTGTTATTAATAAATTACAGCATCAGCTTTCGCGGTTTTATCGTATATATTTTGGGAGGTTCCATCAATTCTACCAATTCGAGATCAACGTCGAAAAGTACGAGTACTTATTGAACAGACACAAGAAGATCAAATTATAATCAAAAGTATAACCTAACCTTACCTATTCGTATATATAATTATATAGTCTTGTATTTTCTCTCAAAGCTGACAGATTAGATCAATTGAGAAATTCATGTTGATCCAGTGTATAAAAATCTATTTACATAACTAATAAATACCAATATATCCTTAATAACGCTTATTCTCATCACTGCATATAAAGCAAAGAAATTTGTAAAAAAAAAACCAAATGTAACTCAAGTTGAGAAAATACCATTTGTATGAGCGGTTAATTAGCAACTGCGGCATTCCGATGCCTGGCTCTGATTGATTAAAGCGGAGTTAATTGCCATGATTTACTCCTTGATTATTTAACTTCAGTATGACGTCAAGGGAGTTCAATTCTTGATTGCATTTTAAATTGATCAATTGAAAGCACTACCACTCCACGAATGAAAAAATTAAAGAGAATTCTCCAAATAGAACTTGGCTAGATGGCATCAGAGTTGAGTCTTTTATGACGGTGGATTTCTTTGGAGCCATTCGGGTCTGCAAGGCTTTCACAAAAGCTATCTCAAGTCGTAAATTTGCATTAATTTATAACAATATAAAAGACTTTTCAATGATTGATCGTAGCAGCATGTTGAAAATCCATGTACGCGGCTTATCTGGCCAACAAGGCGGCCGATAGGAAAGGGCGCTATACCGAAAAAGATTTAGCCATAAAAACCGGCCAAAATCGACAACAAGGAAAATAAAAATCCACTGCACACTTGACCGGGCCGATCATAAAAATCGAAGGCTGATAAGCGGCTAGAGAAGGGGGATATAGCTATATAACCCCTTATCGATCCACCGGATGAGTTAATTGGCTGTATTGCCCTACTACCGTGTGGCCAAGTGTGAATTGTGATTGATTCCGAATGCTGAATGCGATCGGATCGCGAAATATGTGTGATTACTCCACTTACGAGTGTTTCATTAACGGACCCACTCCACTCGAATATCAATCAGCCATGAATGTTATTCCCATATGATCGGTTTCGGTTTCAATTTCAATTTCGATTACGATTTCGTTTTCGATTTGTTTTGGGATCCCAACCCTCCTCAGGTCGTTTCTGTAGAAGCTTTTATCTCCCACAATTGCGGGAATTGTTTATTAAAAACATTATCAATATCTGTAATCCGCTGTCGGATCCACTTCACTTCATTCCGCACTCGTTCTGTCTGGCTTTGGCTTCGTCATTAGCCGCGTTGACAACTGCTAATTGTGGTAAGTGTTTATTGGCCCAATTTTCCGAGGCATACGATAAGATTCGTATGGGTTTCATTTTTAATTATGCATGTATCTGCCTTACATTTAGTAGGGCCGCCTTATCACTAAAGTCTTTGGAAAAGAAACTTCCTCTGTTTATCTCTGTATCTCAGCTTGGCTGATGTTCAAGTCCATGTTTAGGATGAGTCCCATTCATAGTGTCATGTTTTATGATACTATTAAATGGTGTTTCCTCCAGCGGCATGTTTTGATCTGATTTAAATGGAATAAGAATAGCTTATCAAGTCTCAGTTGAGGCTATCTTTGTTATGAATTGAATATACAAGACTGCAACCATTTTGTTTTTTAAATTTTGTTAACTTCTGTTACATAGCAATTAATCATTACCCCCACCTATGGAACTTTTCACATGTTTGCACATTTCTTTAGTAAGAATTTCAACCACAAAATAATCAATAAACTTAAACGTTTCACATTCTCATACACAATCAAAAATTTAAATAAAATATGTACGTTTCGGAACCCGTTCGCGGCTTACATTAATTGCTTGACCCGCCTGAGAAGTTCGATGAATAACATTTTAAGTTATGATTAAAATTGGTAGCACTGCAAATTGATTTTCCACATATAATAAAATACTCTTATGCATTCATTTCGAGTTCATTAAGAAATCATTCACTGGATATTAATTTCGGTAAAATATGCAAATGAGAAGGAGAATGTTGATAAAGTGAACTGTATGAGCTAAATTAATAACGCCACAAAGTCAAAGCAAGCGCTTCAATCATAAGTGTAATTTGCATTTGCACTTGCGGCGGTTTACGCATTTAATTGGTCAACTCATGTCTGCCGAAAAACACGTACAGGCAGAAATGGAAGTATCTAAAGTATTTAATTTATTATATTTCCGACTGGGCTGCATTGGGGATGAGTTTCAGGGGGAGGATAAGGAGTGTGCAAATCGGGTTCTTGGGAAGGTGGTGAAACCTACTTTGTATTCACACGGCGGGCAGGAAATTAGACAACTTTCGTTTATATGTCTTGAATCTTGAGGCACACTCTATCACCACTGTTCGTTTTTCTTCGTTTCCAGTTTCACGTTTTCTCAGAAGAGTGCGAGAGTAGTGCCAATTAATTAGGGTACAAATGACGTTCTGAGGGGACTTTTACTTTCATATTCACAGAACGCGACACAGAGGCGGAGGCGGAGGCGAAGACGATCCGCGACCTGTTAAAAAACACGACTAAATCGCTGCAAATTAATGCAGGCGTTTTATAGGCACACACACTCACACGCTGTAACCGCGATCGGAAGAATTGAATTGAAGAATTAAACCTCTCTCTCTCGCTGCTCGCGACTGCGTCGTTCTCTCTCTCTCTCTAGTCTTCCCGAAGCGCAGCCCGAAGGTAGATTGCCGCCGCAAGACTTTTCATTATCTTCCTTGCACGATCCACCCACTAAAGCGAGCTCTTCGGATCGAGCGCAAATCAAGCCGATCGGTAGCCAATAGTTGTAAGCCAGTTATACTCCTCTTGCCACTCTACAATGGCAGTATCTCTAGTAATAGAGCCGATCGGTCGGTCAACAAAAACAATTTCGTGGTCGTTTCCCAAGCCACTCGACAATCGGGCTATAAATTCAATCTATCGCAATGGTCGGTACTTTTAAGAATTTACTACGGCGGGTGCGAATGCAATGCCATAACTCTGCTTACTAGGCGCTGCGAAAATACATTATTTATATAGCCATATATGACACGAAAAAGTATGCAATAAAAATGATTGATGACTCGAGATTACACGCCTGGTTTTCCTTTAATTAGTCAGTCTTGAGGTGTTCAATCAATCGAAAATCGAAAGCATTTGATGGGTTTATAGCCCAGCCAATTGAACGGTAAATTTATATTATTTTTCCCTATCAGGTGAACGATTCTAAAGGGGGTTTGGTGGTGGCAGCAGCAACAGTTCTGCTAATTGACAGTCTAATTAAATTAACTCTATCAATAATACTCCACTAAAACACCTAAATACTTCCCCAAATGTTTGTTTAGATTAATCAATTAGTGCACGCATAAAGTTGTCTGTTTATTTATTTAGCATTTGCATAAAACCCAAATTGATGATTCCGGTGTATTTGCTCTTTATAATCATTACTGGCAAATCATGATACATCCAAAAACTGATAAAAACACTTGCTGGGCTTTTTGCTTCCCTCCCCCAGACACAGAACCGTATTCCTTTTGATATCTGCACCATAAAATGTGTTTATGTCCATAAAGTCTTCAAAGATTTCCACTGCAATTCACTTGGGTAAACAAATTCTAATTATCGTTAAACAAGTACGATACGATGTTTTCAGCTAACATATAGACATTGTGACAATTAAATAAAACTGCTGGGAAAAAAAAGAATTTTAAACCGATTTGCTAAACGCTTTTCCGCTATTTTTCGCCAGAGATTTAAATAAATTTGACTTTGCTGCATAAAGCAATCTAATGCCTGCATTCCATTAAAATTGATTTCACTACTGGCATTTAATATTTATTGTAAAATTGTTTATCTAATTTCCGGCAATATATTTACCCATTTTGCAGCTTATACATACTATCTACATATTGTTTTTGACACTCACACCCATTCGCACCTCGCACACCAAATGGCCCAAAATCAATTGAATTCAAACAATCCACAAAATTGGTAGAAAATGTATAAACTTTTGGCGTGGAACTTCTCTAATTATTTGAGTGGCAAATGGCAACCGTAAAATGCGACAGAGCACCGAGCTGGCGACTGAAAATGTGGCGAGGTCAGGGATTAGTTTGGGGTCTCCATAAATTAACTTTGCCAAAATTACAAACATTTTCCCCATTAAAACCCAAATCACGGCCCACACCCACACACACATATAGTCGAGACTGGCATACGTATAGGGGATAGCTGCCGGATGGGAATGGAGCAATTTCAATTAAAGCTAATTACAACCAATATCGACTGCCAACAATGTCAAGCATCAAATGCGACGAAGCCACCCAAGAGGAGCCAGGTTGGTGGGTCGGTTGCTTGGTTAGATGGATGGGAGCCGGGTTGACTGGATGCCTGGCTGTCCGGATGCCTGGTTGGATGGTCTGAAGCCCGGCTAGTGTCATGTCTGGGGCGTACACTGCGAGAAACGGCGACGATCCACTCGCACGGTGTCACTCAATGTCGCGGCGAGTGCCTCCTGCGGGGGCGTTAAGTCCTCCGCCGCACGGGGGAGGTGCATAAGTAAATGTTGTTGTCGTTGCCGATGTCACCCAGTGAGATGGGGCCATTAGGCTGGACCTGGATATATGTCTCAGAGTTTAGTACCCAACCAGATCTAAAGTCCTATATGGATTCAAAAGTGTTTTAAATGTTAAACTTTTAAAATATCTTAAAAAACAGAAGAGCATTTCTTTTCTTATCACTAACAGTAATGTAAGCTTTGTCTTAAGGATCCTCTTTTTTGTCCCCACAGGTCCACTCTTGCGGGAATCCGGATGGCTGTGTGTGGATGTGTAAGAGGTGGCTGCTGCTTGAGGGTCTCCAGGCTAGTGTCTGAATTTGAGTCACAAGCCCGGTGCAAATGCTGCCGTTGTTGCCGAGGAATAATTAAAGCAAATTTGCACTTCAGACAGTCGCCCGTGGAAAAACAAGGCAAACAGCTCAGCCCGCAACGATGGCGACCCACAACAAGAGCGGACCCAAAGTACACAACCCAGGTACAATCGAGGATACCTTCATCCTTCCACCGTAAGAACAAAAAGTTAGAACAATTTAGCGGAAAGCACCGACAGTAGAATACCGAATATTTTAACTCGCTTTGTTTTTTCGATTTTTCTTAAAGTAAGATATAGAACGAAGAAGACTTTTCAAACATGTGTTTAGTAAATTTTAATGAAACATTGTGTTTTTCTATTAAAAGCTATTCGATACATAAGATCCTAACAATTAAAATAGGATATGTTTTTTTATTAATTTTTATATTAATGTATATTTTTAAGAAATAAAAAAGATAAATTCAAATTTGTGGCCTAAGAACTTTTGTTAAGTTCAACCTATTCTAAGTTGAGCTGACTTTTATTGTAGGAAACGGAAGAGATCGTAAGCTAGGGTCCTTTTATGCACGAACTTAGATCGTGCATCCATCTCAAAGGATCTAGCATGCTTTTCGAGTACCGGCTATCACAACAGACACCTTCAGTTCCCACTGTCAACATATAAAAAAGGGGTTCTCCAAGTGTTTGGAGGTCTCGTACCTCCTGCAATGACAATCGCAATAACAACGATGCACAACAAAACGCCAGTCAGCCGTGAAAGTATGCGAAAAAAAAGTTTATGTATGTGAATGTATGTCCTTTTGTACATATATATGAAATATAAGGTACGAGAATAGGTACGGGTATGCTAGTGTAAAGTGGAACACAGCCAGCAACACAAAAACAATGCTAGTGAGTGGCACTGAGAGTTGAAACAGGAGCGGATCGGTTGAATTTGGGCCTTTCGAAAGTTATTTACAGAAAAGTACTATAAAATAAAATAAAATATATAAAATGTAATAATAATGATAATAAATAATAAGAGGTATAGATTTTCTTGAGCGTTACATTTTGTAGCATACTTCTGGGCCTAAGACCTCTCCAATTTTGTATAAATTAAATATTTTTGCCTCCTACATCCCTTCATCATTATGTATCATTAAACGGTATTTGAGTTTTTGTTTTTAAATGTCAAAATTAGGTAAGCCCATTGTCTTACCATTCTAAGACCTAAACCGTGCTCTCCCGCTTCGCCCCCGGATTCCCGTTGAAACGAGAGCGAGGCGGAAAAAAGGAAACCGAAGAATGGCCGCGATGACGGACTCGTGCGGATGCTGCCGATGAGGATGCCGATGCCGATGCTCGGCTTTTCCTGTGGCTTTTCTCACTTGCTGAGCGCAACAAGGACCAAAAAATGCCAGCACGCCAACAACAATGGCAACAACAGCAGCGAGCACGCTACAACAATAATAATAACGAATGGCAACAATAAACTGAGCTTGCGCCAAATACGAAATGCAAAAATTTGTGGGAAAAACGAACGACGAACCTCTCGCTCACGATGGCAGGAACAACAGCAACAACAATAGAGCGACGAGATGGGAAAACAAAATCAGACACACACTCACACACACACACGCAGCCCAGGAACGAAGAGCGGCTCTCACCGAAAGCTGCTCAAAGTCAACGTTTCGGGTGTGCGTATGCTTGCTTGCCTGTGTGGGTGGTGGGAGAGCTTCACCCGAAAAAAGTTTTCAACTTGAAATTGAACTGTGTGGCAATAGTAGAAGGAAGAAGCACCAGGCAGCATCAGACAAATTGGAGAGCGCCCGTTGTTGTCGGCGCCGTTGTTGTTGCTGCAGCTGCTCCACTCTCTCCCCTGGCTTTCACTGTTGGCTTTTGTTGTTGTGGGAGCGAAAATATTTTAACGCAATTAGAGTCGGAGCATCGTTGTGTCAGCATCAGAGCAAGAGCGAACGCGCACGCAGACGGACACGGACACGGAGTACGGATAGAACGCAAGAGGAAACGAGAAAAACAAGCAGAACAGAACCGAACAGAGCCAGAATAAGAAGCTGAAGTGTGACGTGTGAAAAAGTCAGCTCACAGCCAGTGTTAAAAAGTGTGACCAACGATAGAAAAAAACCCGAGCAGACTCAATTAACTGTGAAAACCTGCTGCTCGCAAAGACAAAGCCAAGCATAAACGGGCACCGACTCATACGCACGCACACGTATAAGCCGTGCGAGTGGGAAAAACGACGGGCAACGAGCGAGCGAGAGAAGTGAAGGTGAAGCTGAAGGAGAAGCGCGAACAATTTGTTGAATACAACGGGACAGTCACCAAAAGGAAAAAAGCGAAAGTGAAAACCAAAGAAATGACAAACTAAATTTGTAAGCCAAATAAACTTTTAATACTCCGTGCACTCAAGCCAACGTGAACTAAAATAAAACTACAGGCAAATTCCCAGCGCATCCTGACAAAAAAGGGGAGAAAATTGGCGGCGCAAAAGTTAAAAGGGACAAAGGCGATTAAGCAGCTTGCCAAGGACGAGGACCAACAGCTCGAAAGGTGAGCCCAAATAAGTCATGCAAAAGTAGAAGAAAAAGGACGAAGCACACAAAAAAGAAATGTACAGGCAAAGTTCCTCCTATTAATTCCGAAA